TAATTGTTGTTTGTTGATACACTATTCTGTAATTCAATATTTTGCGGGATTTTTTTATTTACTATATAAATTTTACATTGTTTTTGCTAACGTCATTATTATCATTGTTTGTTTATTTATTATTCGATGCGTAATTGAGAAGTAGTGAAAATAAAGCACGTGGTTCGCATTCAACGTTCTTGAATAAACGATTTGTGGAGCATGTGGATTACATTTAAATTCTCTTAATAGTATGTACTTCAGGTTACGCAGAGAAAAGAAGCAACAACTGTATGCTAACATTCGTTTCTCTTATCTTTTATTGTTGATATTGTTGACATATTTTACCCAAGAGAAAAAACTATTATGAATAACTAGATTAGTAACGTGTATTAATCAAGCCCAATACGCATTTTGTTGCAAACGTTGACAAACAAAGAGGAAATATATCGAGAAGAGAGAGGCAATATATTGTAATTCGATAATAATTTTTTGTATTTAATTGCACTATAAAGTAAAGATAAATAAAAAAAAGATTATAAAAAAGCAAATAAATATGGATATAACTGAAATTTTTTTTAAAAAAGTTTCGCGGACTACTTTATAAATATTTGTTATCCTCTTCGTAATTCGTCCTTGGACCAAAACACGTCAATGTAGTTGAACACAAACACATTAAACAAACAGACCGACAAGCTTAAATTGATGCGAAAAGTGATTTCGAATCACTATATAATATGGGTTATAGAAGGTCGATCTCAAGTCCTTCCAAGTATTGTATACTTTCGCAAGTGATGTAGAGTATCAAACACAAGTGGTCAGGACTATGCCAAGCAGCAAGACTAATCATCTGGCATTAACATATACATATAGCTAATAAAAAATTAAAGTATTTGATATCCAGGATTCATCACAAAACGACATTAGCTTTCTTTCGTGTTTTTTGTTATTAAGTTTAATTAAATGTCATTCAGGTTTTTGCAGTAAGCGAAGACATGCACATAAAACAAATCTTTGACTGACCAACTAAACGTTTAATATCTTCATGTTTATAGTGATAACTGGTTGTCATAAAGATCAATGGCATATAAATTGCATATGCCGCGTCTAGACGGGGTTAAATGATTATACGAGTTGCATACTTTCGCAGTAAACGCGAAAGCGATACAAACGCTTTTACATTGAACGATCAACAAGGCAAAATTCCGTTTACTTGCTTATAAGTTTTTTTCATACTAGACGTGCATTGATTCCTTTCGTAAACTTTATAGGAATATGTGCTGTTATCAAACTTTTTCCTATATTCTATAGTATCGTCAGAATTCGATTCTTTAATTTTTTTTTTGCTTTTTTTTTTTAATCGAAAATGTTAAAAATTGCTCTTTTAATAAAACTTAGAATCTTGCTCTTCTACCATGAGTACAAAGTTCAATACATTTTGCTTAGCAAAAAACTCATTAATTGACTTAGTAGTAGGTAAAAGCATTAATTATATATGTACTCCTGCACGTACATGCATGTATATGTAGGTATGTTTGTGCTTACGTTTGAATTTGAAGAAATCCCCAATCACCGAAATGGATTAAGAACAAGTTATATAAAGTGTCCGATCAAAGCATTTTACAGCGAAAAATAAAAAAGAAAAGGAGGAACCGGTTATTTAAATCAGAAACGACAACAGCTGTAGCTTTTGACAGCGCAAATTGAGTGTGAAAGACGGCGAGAAGAAATTACTCAAAGTACACTTTGCCTGGCAATCGTGCATGGGCATCGAGTTTGTTGTTAATAAATTATTTAGCAAATGCGACAAATAGTATAAATATACGCAGTACCTGACAAAATACAGTCGTAACTCACAGTTATATTATGGGAATTTAACGAAGATTTCAATATATGCAACATGGCCATGTGTTCACATGACAATTGAACGGAACAGCTGCATTTCCTTTTTACAAAACAACGCTAAATACATTTTTAAGCGAACTATAATTGGGAAAAATTTAGCATTGAAAGGAATGTAAATATCAGTGGACGATCTTTAACAAGCTTAGATAAACAGATTATGGTGGTATTAGCCGCAATTTCATAGTTTAATACCTGTGTAGCATATTTTCAACCTTCTCTTATATCATTCCTTTTTTGTTTTTCGTAGAACTTATCTATCATTTAAACAAAAAGTAAGATTTACACAGATACATTACAAATATATTTATGACTTGAATGTTTATCCTAAAAAAGACGACTTGAAAAATCCCATATTTCTTGGAAAATGAAAATTTCAATTCGCATTTATTGCCATATGGTATTACTCAGCTATTTCATTTTCTTATTCTTTAAGTTATATTATTAGCCCTTACAAAGGTAATTGGGAAGGTATCAGCGTATCAGTTAAAATTTGAACATAAAGCTAAGATGTAGGGCAAGCAGCTTCCGACTAAAGTAAATAAATTATTGTCTATTGGGTTTATATTAGCATGAAATGCATTTGCGTGTCATAATAAAAGCTGTTCGCTCATAAGTGGCGATGTAAGGCAAATCTGAGGAATGTAGAAAATTTTAATAATGAAAAAATGAAAACGTGTATATATAATAACAACTTTTACTATTTACGACGATATCCGCTACAAAAATATTCTATTTAAAATATATATGTCTTCTAATGCGCCAGCCTTAGTTGAGACTATCAAAATTACTAGCTTTTCCAATTATTAGCCAAGTGTTTCGGTGAAATAGTGTTTACTTTGAAACGGTTAAAGGGTTATTTGATATATACGCATGTTTATTACGTATGAAATGTATACAAATTCTTAGCAATCACAAAATGTAAAAAGTAAACATTGTTGTTCTCATATTGGCACAATGTCTTAAAACGTAAATTATAATTTTTCTCTTTTGGCGAAAAAGTGAAACGAATAGAAAGCAACATTTTTTTTTTTTTTTGCAAATCAAACGAAATGTTGAAGAGAATTTTATATATTATTAAGTTTTCTTCGTTTAGTAAAAAGTGTCCCCTTTTTCAATTCAAATGAGGCTAAGTGGAAGTCAAGTCAAAGTGGAATGAAATTATGAACAATCTTTGCTTACTCGTAGAGAGTAAGAGAAAAAAGCAATATTAACAAACATGCCAAAGATATCTCTTTGAATATATTTGTCGATACGATAACTTTCGATGTTTAGCGTTTATATGCATGTATGTGCATATATACCATCGGTGCGTTCGTAAGCATTCTGGTTATATATAGGTGGTCTTGTCTCTTCGTACAATTGCTGTTAAATCGGGTGTGCAGTTTATATGCTCTTGTTGGGGCTACTGACGATTATACGCAGCTATCTACACGCTCATACAATTGCTACTAACTAACTAACGAACGAACGACAACTTACAAGACAAACGAGTAGAGAGCATAGAATGAACAGCCGCCACTAAATCGTGTTGATTGTATTGCGGCATCGTTTCAGTCAGTAAGTAGTAAGCACTCAACTAAAGAGCAGGTAGAATCTGTGTTAAATATTTCAAGTTTCAAAGCCACGAGGTCGTTTGTTGCGTTTCAAAATAAATGAACGAAAGTCTTTGGCATTTTAAATGTTTTACGTAAATCGGAAAGAGATACAAAAATAAAACGATATATTTTTTTACGTTTGGAGATGTGTATGCAAAGCAGACTTTTTTTTTAGAACATTTATAATCAAAATAAATAACCGCAGACCTCTATACAGTGATAGCAAGATCGGAATGCATTTTTTGCTTTTTTTTTTTTTTTTTTGCGTGCATACATAAGACACATTAACGAGATATTTTGCGATGTTAGAGAAAAAGGTGTGGTGACAAAAATGTAGAAGAACAGTTTGTTTCATACGTAATATACATATAAGTACTAACACATGGTCAATGCAAAATAACGCTCAAATGTGATCATCGAGATCATAATAAAAAAAATGTAAAGAAAAAAAAAAATATGAAAAGGAAACGTATGAAATGAAGTGCCTCGAAGTGATATTTAAATGAATTCCTAACAGAGAAAAAGAGTTAATAATTGAACATATACGCTTTGCTTTTATTGTATACAATAATCCGATTAGTCGGTGTTTAATCTACTTTGTCTCTTTTTCTCGTTAAATTATTTGTATATTTGCATATATATTATTTTTAATCTCAACTCTTATAGAGTTACGTGATAGACTCGTTTGCAGAGTGCACGATCATTTTGCTTATTAAAAAACAAAAAAATATAAATAAATAAATAATAATTTTTTCTTCAAAGCTGTAAACGTTTAGTGAAGCAGAATAGAAACGGTTGTACAAAAGGCAAAAACAAAAACAACACTGAAATTGAGAGAGTTATATGCGAGTAAAAGAGAATCTCAAACTGTTCAGAAATGAGCATAGCGTAGTAGTTGATCTGCCTCTTGCGTTTTAATTTATTTTGTTTCTATTATCACTTAACACTTAACATTCTCTAACATACATCGACATCAGTTTTATATAGAAATACCTACTCTTTTTTTTTTTTTTTTTTCCAATATTTTCCGCGCATACAGTTTTAATATCTGTTACCCAAAAAGGCTAATATATTAATTTTTTTGATTCGGTTTGTAACATGTGAGAAATCTTTGGACATAAGACATTCATCGTCAATCATGCTATATTTATGTCCGTACCTCTGGCCATCTTTTCATTGTTGGAATTTTAAAAATTAGAAAAATTGATAACAAAAGTTGGCGCCTTCAGTATTGATAAATCAAACCAAATGATTTTATTTGGAGATAGCTGGACATAAACACCAGCAGCAGCTTTAGAAAACTGGATAATTTGAAAATGATAAAATGTTTTTAATCGCAATGTTTATGTATTTACCTAAGCAGCGGATAATCCCAAGTTCCGTTTTGTAAAAGTATTACGTTCCTTTTTCCCCTTAAGTTAAATGTAATACTTTTTCTCGCATTTGCGAGACATTCACATGTCTATCATAAGTACCCACCAGTTCACCCATGAGTAAATTAATTAAATCTTTCTCTTCCGAATATACCAACTATAATTTTCTATGATTATTAATGTGCGTGACCTTAAATGGCATATACATAACTAAACTAAAAACGGAATATACAAAATTTTTTTGATTCTTGTGCTTTTCTTTCATTTTTTTTTGTTTTTTAAACAAAGTGAATATATAAGATAACAGTAATATTGAGTTTTCTCTGGACGCGTAAGAAAAAGGCCTAAAGAGAAAATTGTAATTAAAACAAAGGAATATCTTCTGTGAAAAAAATATTATGCGATCAAGTCATTACCAATTGTTTTCCATGCCAATAGAAAACAAATTCGCCGAAAAATATTGTGAACTGTTTCTTTAATAATTTAAATAATTTCGTTCTACAGAAATAAAACCCAGAATTTGAACTATAACGACGAAAAAAGAGAGACTAAAGTTTACATTATATTAAAAATAAAAAATAAAAAAAATAAATAAAAATCTTAGCAATAAATAATATTTAAACTTTTAAGTGAACTGCAAAAGTGAACCTGTTAACAATTGCCATAAATAATTATCATCCAGCGACTATAATTCTTTACAATCATCCCTGCTGACTTAAGCAAAAAGCGCACGCATAACTGTTCCAAGTGGTAAGCTTTTATTTAAACAGTTATTTCTATCTAAGTAAACTTATCGTGCAACGACCCGTCACCCGAGTGATTAACTGTGCTAATGAAAAACGATCTCTAAAACTTTTCTAAAGACTTTTAAGAGCTGTTGCTTTTTTCATTTCGATTATTACATCCGGAAATCTTTACCGGGGTTTGACGTAAATTCTTGACCATCGGCTAATGGCTGCATGTTCGTTTTTCGAAAATCAATTTAGAGTATTAGCAAATGGTTTCCATCCGTTAATAACAATCGGGCGAATTAAAAAATAACGGAATGCAAATTTCAAAATATTCCTCACCAACCACCTACAAAGTATGGTGTCGATTTTAAATCTGATAGGCCCATTTGAAAAATTCGATGGCGAAACAATCAGGATAAGTCAACTGCTTTTCGTTCCAAATGGGAATCCAAAACTTGGATTGAGTCGAAATTAACTTTTTTAACTGCTTTATGTCAGGTTTTGCGGATTTAAAGCCTTAGCCAAATCAAATTTTGGTTATTATTGCATATTAACCGTTTAATTATGTATGACAAATATATACACCATAATCCGTCCATCCGTCCTTGTCGGATTTCCTTATAAAATTTTATCATTATGAGTGCATATTTACTATAATAATGTATTTTGGAAAATATTTTTGTCATTTCACGTAACTTGCTATTACAAGCAAAGAGAATGGCTTGACAAATATACGAGTATATGCTTAAAGAGGAGGCTGACATAGTCAATCAGTTAATATATTAATAGGTAATGCAACGTTGTTACATAAAAATATTAAATTCTCTAAATTACTATCAAATGTTCATGTCGGAGACCAATTGAGAGCAATTTTTGTATAAATCTTCGCCTAATCGTAGAATAGAAAGTTATTAGTAAGAAAATCATGAGACCTTTGGTCCTTTTCAAAGTAGTTTGAATGTACTTAGAGACGTAAAGTTTGCAGATGTCCGCAATGACAAAACTTCAAAGAAGCTATTACAGTGGTGCATATGCACAGTTGTGTGATATTGCAGTTTACGAGAAAGAAGAAATACGTAGATCGTTCAGTTTTATAGATGGGAAAAAACCTTAAAATGAAAAAAAGAATTAGGAGACTGCACAAGAATGTTTCCTAATAATTATACATGTTTCAGCTCAATGGTCGAATTTTCATTTCCTTTCATTTTTAATTAATTTTTGACTCTGTCTCCACGAGCATATGCAAAATTCTTAAAAAGTTAACCTCAGCGGTTCGAATATTCTTTTTTGTAAATCTGCTTGGGTTTTGTCTGATCATTTATATTCCATCAAAAGAGGAAAAAGTTAAATAATATTAACTGTTCATTGACCAATTGTGTCATATAAACAGTCCTTCATTTGCATTGTCGCGCTGTACGTTGCATTAAAATTTGCACAGAGAAGCAACATTGGGGTCATAACAACTGTGTTCTTCAATGTGCATGCTTTGTTTAAAACCCGTGCACTTCTAGAATCTTCTGGACAAAACATCCTCATTCGCCGGAGATACCAGATTAGATAAGAACCGCGGCTTCAAATCGCAAGTGCGGTTCAATACGCAACACATTTCAACAAGTTTTAATACGTTACTCTAAAAAGTCTCTAATATGTCTTTGGGCAGTTGTAATAAACGATTGTATCACGTTTGTGACGGTTGATGGCGAACAAATTCTGGGGATTCGGTTTCATCCATTTTTTTATCTAAGAATAATTGCTTATGGAAAAAAGTGCGCCTAAATGTACAGTGAGAGGACAGGGGCGGTACAGTTTTTTTAATTATCCCTATCTCTATTTGAGAAAGAGCTTTTATTGGAAACGTAATCAGATTAGAACAGATCAGAATACCGCAACCAGTTAAGAACCCTGCGCTTAAATACTGTGTTACTATGTCGCACTTATTTTTGAAAGTGCAGCTCGCGTTAATCTAGTTTAACGCCTACTTTTCTTTGCAGTTATTAGCGGTGCCCGGAGTGGAGATTTGCAATCGTGCTCTTTGCATTCCCAGACATTTGTTGTTGCCTCATTAAAGTGTAAACGTTCGAACAATGCACTAGTCTTCTAGTAATCAGACAAACAGAATTTTCAATGGTATTAGCAGTGATAGTAAGAAATAATTTTTTCATTTTTGTTTTGTGTCTTCTTCTTCTTCTTCTCATGTGTTTTTATTTTGTTTCTTTTGTAAACATTGTTTATTTTAGTTTTCATTAATGTTTTGATTTTGCGGTCATATGTTTGTCGTCATTATCTTTCGTTCTTTTTGTGTCGTATATATTTATTGATGTGTACGCTGCTATCATCAGTAGCATACGATTACGTGTGTGCGTGCCTTTATGTGTTGGCTGTATGTGTGTGTTTGTATTTGCAGATAGGAAGCGTAGATGCCAATGAATGACCTTTCGTTGCGATTTTTCCAAGTGTCATCCAGAAATATTTACGACTTTAGATTTTATTGGAAAGTTATGTAAATTATTTTTTGCTTTTTTTTTTTTTTAATCCAAATGATTTAGAATTCATATGTAGTTCGGGGGATTTTTAGAAATGGCGCGAACGCGCTTCTGAAACGACGTTGCGAACATTAACAACCGCTGCTAGATATTATTTAATTGTTTTTGACGCAGTTATAATGAAGAAAACAATATTATATTTTTACATGAAACAACAACACAACACAACGTTCAGATTTCTGATGATGATAGACTGCTGGACGCGGAGATAACGCGGAGTTACATTTGATACATTTAGATTTCATTTAGATTTCATTTCTGACGATATGTTGTAACGTGGAAAATAGATTCTTACACAAATTTTTTGTTTTTGTATTGAAATTTTTCTGAAATATTAACAATGACTTTACATTCAATTTTTTATGTAAAGTTATGCAGAAAATTGCAAGGTTCACACCTAATCGATCTATCCGAGTCATCATCAACCGTCACGCGTAAAGCGAATCAAAATGATCTCTCCTTACAAATATTTCAATGAAATTTAATAGTAATCTGATATGAGTCTGATATGAGACACCATTGGAAGAAGTTTTGGGTTGTTTTTTTTTTTTTCTGTAAGGTTCAGTTTCTGAATTGTTGTAGGCAATCGGATTTGCGAAACAAATGAAATTTTGCAGCATTTTAAGCCGATCGAAAGCGGATATATTCGACGATATTCCTCTTCTTGGGCACGAGACATAAAAATGAGTATTAAAAACGTGTAAGGCGGTGGTTTTTTAAATTGTATTCGAGCTTTTTGTTTATAGATTGTGATGAAACGTGAATTCCGATTATACAATAATTGTCAGACGAGAACGAAGAAATATTCAGCGCTCTTGTCGGTATTAATTTTAATTCGTTCTCTTCCCACTTTTTATTTATACAAATTCCGTCGTCCGCTCTCTCTCTTTCTCTCTCTCTTTCTCTCTCTCTCTCTCTCTCTCTCTCTCTTTCTTGTATAATACATTTAATTAAAATTAAAATAATTTTAAGATTAATTTTTTTACACATATTATCATTAGTGTAGCCAGTGGGCAAAAGCAAGTGATATACTAATTTTGTCACTTTGTTCGTGCATTTAAACTTATTATGTGCATTCTTGGTTAACGTACAATTCTGAGTTGATGGAACGGCGTCGGTCTATCCTTGCGTCTATCTTTTCGGGATACATGACTTGGAATACAGATATATACAGGCTAAGAGTCTCCAAGTCAATTTCAAATAAAATTTTTTTAGAGCGCATTGGAATACTATGCAATATTTTGACCACAACTCACGCACCTTTAATCAATTGAAAGAACACCACCAATAGTCAAAGAAATTTAAGACCCGGGAGGGGGGTATCCATGAGTCGCTCCGAAATGCATACATAGCTTTCTTACTTGTTTTCATTATATTACGTTCCAACATTTATACTCTTGTACGTGTGCATGTAAATGCCCAGCTTTAAAGTCAGCCATAAATTATCAGCATGGAAAATTTTTTACACAATTATAATATATATTTAAATAAATTTACATGTGTTGAACACTTCTCCGATTATATTAATTTTCTATTTCAATTATATATATATATATATATATAAAATAAAAAAAAAAATGTCGAAATGACCTTTTGTGTATGTATGGCAGTGACAAAAATTAAAAATAAAACGAGAGCGTTGAGAGAATGCATTTCAGTCCAAAAGAACTCAAGGCATTCATTGTTTCTGATTCATGCACGACCTCCTCTTAGCAACGAACCACTTTGGATTTACTTTTTTTGATGTCGAGATAATTTACTTGTAGTTAGCCTTAATTAATCCCCTCTTCTTAACTGTACAAATTACGATCCTAACAACAATATAGTTCCTGCCTCCGCAGGCTACGTATATACAAGCATTAGAATTATCCCGACAAGTGATTAATTAAACGTCCTGTATACACGCATAGAAACGAAGAGGATGATTTTGATTTCCTTCTTTCGTGGCCTTGTTACAGTCGCAAAACTGGAGATGGAAAGCCGAGATTTGTTGATTAAGAATCCGATGCTAAAAAACTGGTTGCAGTTTGTTCTTCGAAATCATCTGCATCATCTGTTTGATCCGAAAATGGTTCCGATCGGTTCGCTAATACACGTACAATTAATGATAAAATTTTAAACTTACTTCATTTTCAATTTATTTCTGATTTATTTGCAGTTGGGTGGAAATACTGCTAGTAAAAGGAAAATAAATTCGAAAAAATTCAAATGTTGTCGCAAATTATAATTATAAGCGGCTTATTAATAAGCCGGCGGGGTCTATTTCTGACTATATATGAAGGAGATCCCGACGAACATCGGAATCACAGGTTTTCATCGAAAGTTATAAACAAGGATATGGAAAGGGTATCAGCCTTTTTCCGACGTTCTTTCAGTTTCAGCCGCATTGCGGACGTGTATATAAACAGATCACGCCCAGTTTTCAATCTTACATTCTTAAGTGATCAAGAAATGTTTATGCCAAACTTGAGATGTCTATCTTCTTCTTTACGACTGTGGCAAATCGACAAAAATAAGGCGATCAATATTATGTCTTTTGATAGAAATATATATAAATTATCGTCATCTTGAAAACGAGACTACATTCTAAATAAATGACGCAACTGTTTTTTGAAATTTAAAAATTAAATTAAATTAGGATCAAAATGATGTACTCGGTAGTTCTTGTGTTAACACATAGGGTAGGACAAATGTGTCTTTTTCAGACGTATTAGACTTTAAATAACAGAAAAAATAATTCCATAAAAGTAAAACTAGATTAATATAAGGCCGAAGCTAGTCCGAACGATTGTGTGATCATTCTTGCATAGCTTGCATTCATAATGGAAAACTAAAAGCCAAAAGAAACGATATGTTAGCTAACATTAGAAACCGCAAATTTGACTTTTGAATTAACAAACGGAAAAGGAATTTTATTCAAGTCGTAGTTTGTATATCAAAAGTGGTCAGTCGTGAACGCAAGACATACAAGTAAGAAAATTATATTCGCTTTAACATAAATCTTAGATAGATAATGGTTGGCAAGTCAGGATAATCGTTCTTTATTGAAGTATACTTCAAATCTACATTTTTCTTTCATAATTGTCCAGCCAGTCTGTCCGCTATCTGTCTAGGCAAGATAAAGTTGAGAAAGGCTTAGGGATGTATTTATTACATTTGCTATAGCTATGCCTGATTATTCTAATAACAAAACGGAAAACTTCTCATTTTCTTATTTTTTACTTTTTTTCGCCATTACGGTCATGTATATGAGTAGACTAAGCTCGATTTTAAAAACAATCTTTCCTAAAAATACTTTTGTTTTAAGAAGTCCCTGAGATAAGAAGTTTCGTAAAAATTCTCTCGTTTTCCAAATAGCATAATTAATTAACATCAAGAGGTTTACGGTCAACTTTGTGCACAGGTCCGTTATCTTTACGATATTTTCCCAATTCATTGAATGAATAATTGAACACTTTCAAACTTTCTAACGCCTTACACCATATACTTTGCGCAAAAGAATATAATGAAAATATGCTTACAGATACGAATTTGGTGGTGTGTGTGTTCGGTGTCGCAATTCGTTTGGAATTGATATCATAAAATCAGTAAAACTGCAATTATTAAACGACCCGTACGCTGTTATTATGGAAGGCTTTGCCCATGATTGGCCAACGCCGCCGCGTTCGGATAATAACGCCTTACATATGGATTTAGTTGCCGAATTGCACGACGGCAGTTTTGAGCCTCAAACGAGGGCTAGATCGAATACGTGGCCATGCCCACGTCCTGAAAATTTTATGGATCCCCCTGACGAATTGGACAGCACAAAAGCTAGTAACCAACAGTTAACTGGCAGCGGTAAGTCTTTATAAGCACATAAGTTGACCACAGAAGGTTGTAATCTAGCGCTTTTTACAATTATTTATCCACAGATCCACAGCAAACTACACAAAATGTAAATGCCGCTAAAAAGAACTCATCACGTCGGAACGCTTGGGGTAATTTATCCTATGCTGATCTCATAACACATGCCATTGGTTCTGCAACGGATAAGCGTTTAACGTTGAGTCAAATATACGAATGGATGGTACAGAATGTACCATATTTTAAGGACAAAGGTGATTCAAATAGCAGTGCGGGCTGGAAGGTAAGCTTGGAATTTGATAAAAAAAATTTAGCAATTAGCAAGCATTCAATATCGTTTCAATATTGTCCCGATAATAAAATACACTTGTGGCCTCTATTAAGATTGTGAGACTGAAACTCGCCAGAACAAATTAATTTCAATTTGCAAAAGTGTGGCATTATTTGCATAAACTAAAGTAATGTGTTTGGTAAATAATGTGTAACAAGTGTTCGAATGCCATACAAGCGTGAATCATGCATACACGCATGACTGTAGGTCAAGATAATTATATAAATAATCCATGAAATGTGCCAAGCGAATGTTTGGCCACAATCATTTTGTTTGCAGCGGCATTCAAGATTGAAACTGTTTTTTGCAAGGAAATGCTTGTGAGTGTGAATGCGAGGAAAATTCCTTTAACAAAAAAGTGGACGGAGATGTAGGCGTTTTGCTTGCATGCAAATTTCAGGTCTTTTCCTTTCACACACGGCAATTTTATTCAATGGTTTGGCATAATGGGTAGGCGTGGTTTTTAACCAATACTTTCGCACACAAAGAAAAATTCACAAAATTCATCTCTTTCGTTAAGCAAGATCGTAAAACCGTGTACAATAAAGAAGCCATTGGACTGGCTAGACGGCAAGTAGATTATAATAAGGCGTTGGAGGATGTGAAGATTGACAACAATTATGAAATTATGTAACACATTCTGCGTTTATCGTTCCATGAAGGCTTTTATTCGCTGACGAGTGCTTTTAAAGGAGAAAAAGGGAAAAACTAGATCTCAGTGAAGACAGTTCCAAGCGAACACTTGGATAGATAGGTGGCGAAAGGACAAGTAAACTAAACAGTCTGATGGATAAGTGGGTAGGTTGGTCAGTATCTTCAAAAAAGAAAGAAACAGGACCCCAGTAAATAGTGAATCGAGTTCCTTGCGTAGGAATCGTATTTCGGGGAAAACACTACGTACGGACGGGAGGAGGCTACATTTTATTAAGTTAAGCGCCACCTCTGTATTCCGTAACTGACCTTTAATTTTTAGCGTTTAAGTTAATTATTCTTTTGTCTTGTTTTTCGTTCTATTTTTTGCTTCATTTTGCTATATTTTTGCTTTTCCAGTGCTTTTCTACCCAATTACGTTTATTAGGCATTTCATTGTGAAGGTATATGAAATTTAACATTCGGTTTGCAACCCATTGAGTGCGCGTGTGTTGATTCACATAAATGTTCCTCAATTTCCATTAAATTGATGATAAACTGCTAAGAATCTGTTCAAGATTATCTCGATTGCGTGTAATTTCCACAGAAGCGTTCTTCTTAAAGTCTTAATATATTCAACTCATTAATCAATGATCACTTTTATCTCTAATTATGGTGCAAGCTTAGTTAAAAAAAAAATCCGCCTGGAAACGTATTACAAGCTCACGTTAGCTTGAATGTAATGCTGTTGCGTAGTAATAATTCGGTCTGAGTCGAAAGTTGTTCTCATATTCTAAATTTGTGGTTTTTCATTTCTGTGTAGACAAAATCAAGTTCATGGCCATTATCTACCTTAACGTAAGCAATCAAGCACACATCTCCCCATCCCTTGCCGCCTCATTTTCGCTTTAGCACATTTTTATTTCTGCTTATTTGACATACTCGTCGTTTGCTCATTTGCTCATTCTTTTTCCCTTATTATGAGTCTTTCCGTTTTTTTTTTTTTTTTTTTTTGTATTCTGATTCTTATTCTTATTGTTGTTATTATTTTGGTTTTTTTTTTTATTTTTTTTTTATTGTTTGTTCGTATTGACTGCTGCAGTTGCTGTTGACGTTTTTATTTTGTTTGTTATTGTTGATGTTTATCGCTTGATTGTGCGACTGTTTGATGTTTTCAGTTTATTATAATAAGTATAACAATCTGTGCATTTATAACGATTGGATAAAATATCATTGATATACGGTTTGCAACATTTAGAAGACATGTCATATAAAATGCTCTTAGAAGACTTCTATGGGTTCTGAAGTGATAAGAATCTTTGTGGTCGGTGATGGATACATTCATTCGTTGTCATCAGATCCATATTTACCAAATTCTCGAGATCATACTAGAATCTTTTCACAATCCTCCTGCCGCCTATGTGTAATGTGATATGATGATTACTTGAAAAAAGATTCGACCAAACCCGAAGATAATCTCTCTCTTATCTTTTGCTACAAATTGCACTCTATTAAAAACGTATAAGACGTCTCTCCTCATTTAGACATGTGGGTTATATGTATTGGATATAAAAGCGCCAACTTTTCCTCTATCAATTTATTACGTATACGTAAATGTTTCTGTAAATAGCGTAAATAATGAAAAACTGCGCTTTTTGATTTCGCTTATTTAAATGAAGTCGTACTTTTTCTTTTAAAGAATGAATATTTTCAAGGAATTTGAAAAACTCATTTTCGTTCAAGAGAAAATTCAGTTTCAAAGTCTACTATGAGACGAACACCTACAAATTCCTTTATTCGTTATAAGTTTTAATGTGTTTGTTAAACGTTAGTAGGAAATATTTTTTCAATATACGTAATTCGTTGCGGGAGAATAAAAACTGATCTCATATTAATTAGCAACCGAAGGCCGCCTTCGGCCCCACCAATTATTGTATACATGGTACAGATGGAAAATTGATTTAGAATTTGGTATAAATATGTGGTCGAGTCGTCGGTATGCTCAGTGCAAAAATGAACCTATTAATCCTGCAAAAAAACGCCCTACTTGTGACCTACCTACCAAAATTAATAATCTTACACTTGTTATCAAGATCGGGTACAAGACCGTCTAAGAAGTCGCCGTAGAAGTATACAAATAACACAAAAGAGAGGAGATAAAAATTTATTTAAGACGAGTATAAAATTTTTTGGTTACGCCTTTATGTTTTGAATGTCGTTGCTTTTAAATCATTCGACAACGTATTTAAGCGTAAAGATCTGCCTAAGCGTAACAGTAATTTAGGTTATATAATCTCTTTCATTTTGAACGCAAAGTTTTAGGTAATCATGATTAGGCAATAACGACTATCGCATAAAAAAGAATCCTTAAGGATTGAGAATACTTTTCGCTAATATGCGTTGTTCGGAAAATCATTTCGCTTTTCTTTTTTGTTTTTAAAGACGATGCAATTGCACCATCTCTCACAGCCAAATTTACACTTGGCCCGCATTAACGCGACATATTTTGAAAGCTGATATAGCGAGGCTTGTTTATGAAAAGTTTTACTCGATTCCAAACAATAGTTTGTGCTCGGAGCTCTGTCAAATATGGAAAGTTGAAAGCTATGTTTTTCAGTATGTTTCAGTTTTTTATTCTTAAAAAGGTGAATGATCTGCCGCAACGCCAGGCCCACAAATTGAGTCACAAAAATTTCGTTCCCAGTTCTGGAAGGCCAGTTGAAACTAATAACGTCAAACAAAAAGCCATTAATTGATGTAAACCGTCGATTAACCACTCAGGAGATTTCTCGCGCGCAAAACTCTTTGATTTTTTATTTTGAGCAACAAAAAAAAGGTGGAGGTTAACTTTTCGAACAACCCAATATGTTATGTGGATATTCTCTTAATTTTTTGATGTAATTGATGAAACTGAAGCTACAACTAAATTCTAAAAAATTGTCTGCCCGACAGACAACCATAAAAAATTTGATAATCGTATGGTATAATAACTTTAATAGATTTTTCTTTTCAAGCCTAATTGAAGCTTAATTAAGATTTGCTCAAAGCCAGGCAGAGTCTTTTCTCGTTACCTTTGTGTAAAATCTTTATTGAATCTCTAATGTGAATGAACCCTAAAATTTCTTAAAGATTTTTAAAATTAAATTTGCTTTAGTTATAAAATGTATTCTTTGTGTTCGCCTTCTTTCCCATACCCGTATATATATATATATATTTGAATATATATATTTGAATATAGAAATTTATAAACACTTTTGCATTTCTTTTCATGCAGCGAATGTGTAGAAGAATATAATTTTCATTTTATTTTAGTGAAAAAAATTAACTCAACAGCTAATTCCAAGACCAGAATATCAGGAAAATTATAGGAAATAATTAGATCAATAAATTTACTTGGTTTTAAGGACCAAAGGTTAGGAAAGCGTCAGCAAGTATATCAAGTTGTTTAATTCGAACGGAAATACGTTTGAATTGGCAGCGCAGTGGGAGAAGGTAGCAGGCCAATTATAAGGCGAAATAGTTTGATTAGTCCATTGATTGCTCAATCAAGAGTTTAGATCATAACAAAAATGTAAACTCAATATGTTTACTGCTATACGAAAATTTAACTCTACTCCTACATTGTATAAAGTATGCATGCCACTCGTTTATGGCTTATAGGAAACTGCATTCCATCAAACATTACTTCTGCGACTGTCGATACCAGTGGCTTATTGGTTATGTCTTTCCGTTTGCTTTGCTTCTCTAAAAATAGTTACGTTTTTCTTGTACACAGTCTTTATGAATATAAACTAAGCTTAGCATAAAACTCTCTCTCTCTCTCCCTCTCTCTCTCCGTCCTATTGACAATCATGTAACACGTTGTTTCGTGTACAAGAACGAAGAAAGACTGCGTCATTTTCAACACGCGGAACTGCAATTGAGCTGCTTTCCTAATGCTTTTTTAACAAACTGCGAAATTTATTGTAATTTGTAAAAAGAAAGAAAAAAGTCAGGCCCCCTCCAAACGCCATCTATTCTTTTTTATTCATTTCATGTATCTATTAAACAGACTCACACGTAAACGCTGACAGCCAATATCTTGCACTCTTAATATATTGTGTATATAGGTTTTATAGAGATGTGTGTGGTGCCTATACTATACACAATTGCGCATTTAGTATCATCACGCTTAGGGTTTGTAAATATAAACTACTTTGCTATGCCATTGCTCTCCTCTCTTTTTCTCTATTCTTTTCTACTTTTTGTTTCTTTTTTTCTCTAATGATAATGTATGGCAAAACGGTATATACTGAACGTTTAATATCACTTGTAACAATCAA